CCCCCCCAACCACCTTCTTCAACATCCTTCTTACCTCCTTTTTCTTTCTTCTGCATTCCTCATTCCACTACCCTCTCTTCCTTCTCACCCCTTTATCCCTCTCTCCCTCTTCCTCACATACTTTCAAAACTCTCTTTATTATCTCCATCACTTCTGCCATCTCCTCCTGCCCCCTCTTCTCCATTCCCTGAATCCTCCCTAACTCCCTTTCAAATCTTTCTCTTCTGTCTCCATCTCATATATCTCAGCATCTCCCCATACTTCCCACCCTCCGCCCTTCTCCTTTCCTAACTTCTCTCAATTCCACGAAGATGGTCCGAACTGGGTGATGATCCGAGTCAATCTCCTCACCCACCTCCATCCTTAACATCTCTCCTATTACCTCTCCACCCCCAGTATGTAATCAATTACCGACTCCCTATTTCCTCCCATATATGTAAACTCCCCCTCTTCATCCCCGGTCACATTCCCATTCATTATCACGATACCTCTTTCTTCTATCGCCTGCAGTAACTTCCTGCCTTCCCTATTCACCTTTTTGTCCTTCGATCTTCTCTGTCCTCCTTCCTCCTTCCTTCATCCATCCCCACTCCATCCTCCACTCTCACCCATTCTCACATTAAAATCCCCTCCTATAATCACCCTCCTCCCTTCTTTTCTATTTTCCATCCAATCCTCCAGTCCTTCTAGCTTCCTTTCTATATCCCCATTTACGTACACTCCTATAATCACCTATCTACAACCTTCTCTGATAATTACCCCTTCTATTCTCCCTTCCAATTCCTCCTCCTTTTCCTCTAACTCTATCTCACCTAAGTCCCTCCTTACTCCCATTAACATCCCCCTCTCGCCTTCCACTTTCTATTTCTCTTCCTCGCCAACTGCACTTTCCATCTATACTCTTTCGGTAGTCTTCCCTTCAATCTTTCCAAGCCCTTTCTCTCTAACTACGTTTCCATCATCGCTACCACCTCCCATTTCTTCACTCTCCCAGAATTCCTCGTCCTTGTTCCCCAACCCCGCCACATTCCAAAATGCCACTCTCCATCCTTCTTCCTCCCTTTTCTCTTCTCTCCTTTCCTCCTTCCTCTCCTCCTCCTCTAATCTGATTCCCCCGACATCTCCTTCCTCTCACTTCTCAGTCTTAACCTCTCCTCATCCTCTTCCCAACTCCACCACCTCCCGTCTATCTGTCTTCCCCCATAATTTACCCACACCCTCCTCCCCTCTTCTCTCTCCCTTCTAGCAATTTCCTCCAATTTCCACTTCATCTTCCTCTCTTTCCATGTTAAATCATCTCTTACTTACATTCCTCTTTTTTCCTACTCCCTTTTCCTCCTTATTATTTCCTTCTTTACTTCCAACTTTACCATCCTAATCCTTGTCCACCTATCTCCCTCCCTTCTTCTCATTTTTCTTATATCTCTTATCTTCCCCTCTATCCCCATTTCCCTTATTATCTCTTTTACCTTCCCCTCCATTT